GTGGTTCCTTCTGTGCCTGAGGGCACCTAGCAGCAACTGCGTTATCAGTGATGATGTCCTTCTCCAGGGATTGATCTCCCCGGACAACATGTTCCATATACTTGAGAACAATTCTCACCATCCTTACCTCTAAGGAGCTGAGGTAATTTATTGTGCCAACCTGGTCGATAAACACATGTGGAGTTAATTGAAGGGTAGAGGGATAAATGGCTTGGTGGGCCTCACCTTTCTAGTTCTCGGGTCTCTTGCTTTGTGATGGTCAGACCAGGGTGAAACTACCTTAGCCAGTTCCCTGCTTCAGCTGGCAAGGCTCACTTCCTGCAAGACATCCCTGAGGAGAAGCCACATGGACCTACCGGATGCAGCCCTGGGTGCTGGAGCAACTGTTTGGAGACCCTGCCAGTGCTGAGATGCTTACATGCCCACTGATTTGGCTTTCCTCCTGTAGTCGGTGTGATTGCATGTGTTTTGTGAGATGGAGGAGGACTTTGTGGATTGGTGTCAGACATATGGACTTGTGGGCTTGGGCAGCACTGGGTTGGGATGTTTTCTTGATGCGCACTTAACCTTTATACTTAACTCTCTCTTATCCATGGGTTACTGTGGATTTGTTTCTCTAAAGTCCCCAGACTCACAGGAGCATTCTGACTGTACTTCTTCCCAGTCAGATTTGTTCTTTTGGCAGTCCTTTCAATCTTCTTGGCCAACACCGTAATTCAAATGCACCGATGCTTTCTTAATCGGTGCCCAAATGAGGCTGTTGAAAAGACCACGGCTTGGGTCAGGTGCACCTTAATCCTCAAAGTAACATCCTTGCTTTTCAACACTCTACAGAGGTCTGTGCAGCAGATTGACCCAGGGCAACGAGTCGCCCGATCTCTTGGCTGCTGCTTCTGTGCGCATCGATTGTGGATGCGAAGCAGATAAAACCATCAACAACTTCCATCTTTTCTCCATCTCAGGGCGTGTGGGCAGAAGTGATCTGTTGTGTTCAGCAGCTGTCTCTCGTGTAGAGCTCAGGAGAGAGAGCCCCAAGATGGCTGGCAGTCCAGCCAACTGGAGTGGGGTCCCGCCTCTTGAGGAAATGACTAGAATAGCAAAGTTCTTCCCACTAAAGGAGTGACCCGCTTCTTCAGCCAGGTAAGGTGTTGTCAATGACTTACTCCGGCTGGCTCTTCTAGCCATAGTCCCGCTGGCCATCGTCCATGCTGTGATGTGTTGCGCAGGGTAGCCTCTGTGCAGGTGGTTATGATTCCATTTTGAAGGGAGATCTCTGTTGCAGGATTAGGGTCGGATGCATCCTTAGACCCTACTTCCCATAGAGACTGGTGGGACGCCCAAGCCTGTGGCCCTTCCTCAACCTTCAAGTCTGGAGTGGAATCCACTTACAGCCAAGCTATATAGGTCTACAAGGTGAACAGGAACAAATGGGAGGTACGCACACGCACATCTTTGAACAATGCACCAGTCCAGATCAGACAGGCAGCACTTGCCCCAGTACCAAGTTTTGAAGGTTGGAGGGGTGAGGAAAGGAAAGAGGAAACAGAAGGATGGGAAACAGGGAGGTGTTGGGATGGATGGGTGCCATTACACTGTGGGGAATTACAATCCATGCCGGCAATACAGTGCTGATTTGTTGTTGAGGGGAAAAGGAATTTGCTCCAAAAACTCATTCGATCAACTGTCAAAAGCTAAAAAAAAAACCCCACACACACCAAAAACCAAATAGCTATTTTTGTTAATGCTGGGTTTAGTTTGGGGTGTTTTTTTAAATGCTGGGTTTAGTTTGGAGTTTGTTTGGTTTTTTACCTTTACTGTTGAAGATTCATTCTCTGTGTTGCTTCTGGGTTCATTCTAACAGTTAACTTATGTTTCGGAGAAAAGCACATTTTTTAATAGTGCCAAATCCTCTGGCGGCAAAAATGAGCTAGCCGTTCTCAACCACCACCCTCTTGGAGAACTCCCGCAGGACTCACTTAGCGAGGGTTCTGAAATAGCCTCCCCTAATCCCGAGACAACCTTGAGCACTATGAAAAGCCACTGCCACCGGCAGGAGCGGAGGCTGCTTAAATCCGACCTTCACGAGCAAAACCATCTCCCCCTAGTTTCTCAGCGTTGCAAAAGGTGATATTTGTTCAGCATTTATCTGAGTGTTGACCAAGCTCATGCCAGTCTGTCAATCCACCAACCCCCCC